CATAGCGTTGAGTCCTAGGGCAGAATTATCTCTCCTAGACTGGATCCCAGTAGATAGTCGTTTGTGCGCTGTCCGACTAAACGGGACAGTAAGGACTCGGAAGGATAGGGACACTCGCCGTTGCCTCTTCGTCATATCTGCCTATGCCCCCACTGACTGCAGTGCAGACGAGGTTAAAGATGAGTTTTACAGAAAGCTTTCGGACCTCCTCCAAAAAGCTAAGCGCTCTGACATAGTAATAATGGCTGGTGACTTTAATGCTCAAGTAGGTAGACTAGGTGAAAAGGAAAGACATCTTGGTGGATGTTATGGTGTAGCGACTGAGAGAACAGACAATGGCGACCGTCTGTTGCAACTGTGCTCAGATAACCGCCTATTCTTAGCGAACACCAACTTTAGGCATAAGGAAAAGCATCTGTTGACCTGGCGACCTCCAAAGTCGTCTCAACGTTGGACTCAACTAGATCACATCGCCATCAGCCACCGATGGAGGGGTTCGATAGAAGACTGTCGCTCGTTCTGGAGCACATGTTTGGATTCAGATCATGCTCTAGTGCGAGCTCGTATCTGTTTAAGGCTTACTGGACGTAGGAAAGACACCGTAAGAAAGCCTCTTAGGGTTTTACTTAATGATAATCAAACCAAGAAAATATTTCAGGAGCAACTAGAAAGAGAGTTAAGCAACCATGCAAGCGATTCCCATCCAGAAGCAGGTTGGTATGATATCAAAAAGGCTGTGGAAACAGCAGTGATATCTGCTAGGAAGGTAAACCATGAGGCTAGGATGAAGCCGTGGATTTCAGTCGCATCCACCGAACTGATGGATGCTCGAAAACGCATCCCACCTGACTCTGAGCATGATGAAGAGCGTAGTCAGCTTAGGCGCAGACTTATAAAAAGTCTGCGTAACGACCGCGAACAGTGGTGGGTGGCGAAAGCAAAAGCGATGGAAAAGGCAGCGGCGATAGGCAACACTAGACAACTTTTCCGCCTTATCAAAGAAACCGGTATTAAGAACCCGAATGTGAGTGAGACTATCTCGGAAAAGGATGGTCTTATTATCCATTCTCAATCCAGGAGACTGGATCGATGGGCAGAACACTTTAGGGATCAGTTCAACTGGCCACGAGCCACTCTTCGGTTACCCACGATCTCCAGTCATCCTGAATGGCAAATCGACGTAAGTCCCCCTAGTCTTAATGACGTTGAGAAAGCGTTAGGAAATCTGAAACGAGGACGAGCTGCAGGTCCTGATAGACTGACCCCTGAGATATTCAGGGATGGTGGTCCAGTTTTAGCAGCTAGATTGACTGAGATCTTAGGTAAAATCTGGGAACTGGACGTAATCCCATCCGACTGGTCTCAATCCTTGATTGTCCCAATCTATAAGAAAGGACAAAAGTCTTCTTGTGACAATCACAGAGGAATAAGTCTAACTAATATAGTATCTAAAATATTGGCCTCAATAATACTTCGACGCTTAACGAAAGCTCGTGAAGAGCAGACTCGAGAAAACCAGGCTGGTTTTCGACCTGGACGTGGCTGTATAGACCACGTCTTCACACTCAGACAGGTCCTGGAACATAGACACACATTTAGGCGTCCTACAATAGTTGTTTTCCTAGACCTTAAGGCGGCATTTGACTCTGTTGATCGTAAGGTTCTGTGGCAGTGTCTGTCATTGAAAGGTGTACCACAGAAGTACATTAACCTTATACAAGCTCTTTACTCGAACACCACTGGTCGGGTGAGGGCTTATGGCGAACTGTCACCGGAATTCTCTACATCAAGTGGTGTCCGTCAGGGATGTCCACTTTCTCCATTCTTGTTTAATTTTATCATAGACATGCTCCTAGAGTTAACATTATCCTCGTCTGAATTTTCAGGAGTAGACCTTCTTCCAGGTGGCTCGCTTATTGACTTAGAATATGCCGATGACATTGTCCTACTTGGTGAAGACGCTGACAAAATGCAGAGTCTTCTGACTACCCTAAGCAACAATGCAAGCATGTTCGGGATGCGGTTTTCCCCCTCGAAATGCAAAATGTTGCTTCAAGACTGGGTTGCATTGGCACCTGAACTAGTGATAGGGAGTGAAGTAGTCGAACGTGTAGACCGCTTCACTTATCTTGGGAGTCTCATCAGTGCCGATGGCCTGGTGACTGACGAAATCTCAGCTCGGATACAGAAGGCTCGATTGGCTTTTGCCAACCTGCGTCACTTATGGCGTAGGCGAGATATCCGTTTGCTGACTAAAGGACGAGTGTACTGCGCAGTAGTTCGCTCCGTCTTACTTTATGGCTGTGAAACATGGCCAGTGAGAGTAGAAGATATTCGTAGGTTACTGGTTTTCGATCATAGGTGTCTTCGAAGTATTGCTCGTATATCGTGGGACACCCGAGTGAGCAACGCTGTTATTAGGAATCGGGTGCTAGGTAAGAATGGCAGATCAATCGATGAAGTATTGAAACTTCACCAGTTGAGGTGGTTGGGACATGTGTTGCGTATGCCGAACCACCGGCTGCCTCGTCGAGCCTTGTTTTGTAGTGTGGGAATAGGTTGGAAGAAAGTTAGGGGCGGCCAAACCAAAACATGGCAGAAATCCATGAAGTCATTGACAAGTGGACTTAGCCATGTCGGTAATTGTCGACTACCTGGTTGGGGTCCGCGAGATGATAATAATCGATGGTTAGAGACCTTGAATGACATGGCTCAAAATCGTTCGCAATGGCGCCAGTGCATTTATTCTTTGTGTTCTCTCAAATGCTAATCTTCTGGATTCTTCAACCCCTCTAGTTTCGACTCTCTAAACTTTTCTCACTGAATCATACTTCTTGAATAGTATCTTCTAATCCTAACCTCTCCGATTATTTCTAATTCCCTTACTACCTCTTCTACTATTGGATTTGAATTGACGATTACTTCTCTGTGCTGATGTGGTATGGCAACATGAACTGATGTACTTATGTACAAAGTTCTACGTTGCATCTGACTGACTGACTGATATATTTTAATATTTAGCTAACACTAGTCGTCAATATATTTTCAGTGGCTTATCTTTTATCTAAATATCCTCTGATGAGTATATATTAGAAAAAAGTGCTTCTAGACACATGCGCGATGATAGATAACTTTTTTCCTCTAGGCTTAGTATTTTCAAAATCCATGTTAATACTCTAAAACTAGTCTGCCCTAGCATCCATTTTTAGAACTGGCTGCAAAATGTCATTTTTAAGAACAAACAAAAGAGTAATACTACTGTGGTGTGAGCTACTTATAAGTAGTATATGACGTGAGTGTCAACGTAATGTCTGGCAGCATAATATGGGGGAAGATCAAGAAAGGAAGAGTTAGAAAACAATGGAATTTGTATGAAACGCATGAACAGTGACAATGGATTGATGTTTTGCAACAGGAACAGACCAGTTCGATGTGATGAACTGATAATTTGCAAATGAACGATTTACGATATGGTTTTCCGATTTTACTGAGTAACTCTGTAATTTTTGTTAAATACAATTCGGTTGCCCCACCTGTGTTCTCATTCACTACACTACCACAAGTACCCAAAGTAAATCCATGACACAGAACCACACCACTGTTTTTAGCTATTGAGCTAATTGTGATTATTGAGTAAATCAGTTTTTTTTAAAATCTGAAATCATAATAATCTGACAGTGATATCAGCTGATTACGAGTAAATTTTAATCTTTTGCTTTGTGTGAAGGATGTGTTGCACTCTTGTTTAATGTCAGTCAATCAGCTACAACATAGAACTTCGTACGTACGTACATGTACATCAGTTCAAGTTGTTATAGCACATTAGCACACAAAAGCGCAATTGTCAATTCAAATCCCATAGTTGTAGAGGAAGTAAAAGTGTTAGTGGTAATGGAAAAGATTAGGGTTCGAAGTGATCAATCAAGAAGCATGATCCAGTGAAATAAATATAAAAAAGAGAAATTTAAAGGTGATGAGGAATTCGAAAGATTAGGATTTGAGCGAACATAAAGAATAGATACACTTGCACCATTCCATGTCATCCAAAGTCTCTTACCACCGGTCACGATTGTCCCGCAAACCCCAACCAGGTATTCTACACCTACTGTATTGAACGTGAACACAGGTGGGGCAACCGGATTGTATTTATCACAAATTACAGAGTTACTCAGTAAAATCGGAAAACCATATCGTAGATCGTTAATTTGCAAAATATCAGTCCATCATATCGAACTGGACTGTTCCTGTTGCAAAACATCAATCCATTGTCACTATTCATGCGTTTCATACAAATTCCATTGTGTTCCCACTCTTCCTTTCTTGATCTTCCCCCATCTTCTGCTGCCAGACATTATGTTGACACTCACGTCATATACTACTTATAAGTAGCTCGCACCACACTACTAACATGACTCAATCCAGTAGTGAGTGCCTTCATGGATTTGTGCCATGTTTTAGTCTGGCCGCCCCTAGCTTTCTTCCAGCCAATCCTTAACATCACAAAACATCACTTGTCGGGCCAGTCGGTGGTTGGATATATGTAACACATATCCATCCCAATCACCTCAACTGATGAAGTTTCAATACTTCATCAATTGTTTTGTTGCCATTCTTACCAATAACCATCGATTACTATCATCTCGCGAGGGGCAACCAGGTAGCCTACATCTACCAACATGACTCAGTCCACTTGCCAGTGACTTCATGGATTTCTATCATGCTTGTTTTGGCTACCCTTGGCATTTTTCCAACCTACTACACCACTAAACATAGCTTGTTGAGGCAGTTGCTGGTTGGACATACGTAACACATGTCCCAATCACCTCAACTGATGAAGTTTCAATACTTCATCAATTGTTTTGTTGCCATTCTTACCCATCTAACAGTTGATATGAATGAATATCTCAGTTTAATGTTGAAATTATTCATATCAATTGTATTATTGATAAAATAATTTCTTTTTCATTGATTTTCTTTTTAATTTAAAAAAAAATTTATAGGTACGAGATGAATTCCGTAAAGATTATGATGCTGAACGAGGTGGTTATGGAAAGTTAGCTCAAAGAGAAGGAGAATAGCTCTCTTTATTGCTTATTATATATATATATATATCTTGTATTTTAATATTATAAAAACAAAATAATACTAATGTACATACAATTTGTCTTTTTTTCTTTTTCTTTCTGTGAAACAATATTTATAGTTTCTAATAAGTAGCAGGATGAATTGAAAATTAGTAGTTTAGGGAGGAGGGGCTTGGATTACCTATCAATAATTTTTCTTTAACCTGAATCAAAAAGCATGAGAAATGGCAAATGGTTTGATAAGTAACGGACGTGATTACTTACTTACTTACTTTGCTTACTTACGCCTGTTACCCCCAATGGAGCATAGGCCGCCCACCAGTTTTCTCCAACCAACTCTGTCCTGGGCTTCCCTTTCCAGTTCTGTCCAATGTCTGTTCATTCCTCTCATATCTTTCTCTATTTCTTGGCGTAATGTGTTCCTTGGCTTTCCTCTTTTCCTTTTGCCTTGAGGGTTCCATGTGAGGGCTTGTCTCGTGACACAGTTAGGTGCTTTCCGCAACGTGTGTCCTATCCACCAAATCCACCGCTTCTTCCTGATTTCCTCCTCCACTGGAATCTGGTTTGTTCTCTCCCACAGTAAGTTGTTGCTGATAGTGTCTGGCCAACGAATACGAAGTATTTTACGTAGACAACTGTTAATAAACACTTGTATCTTCTGGATGATGGTTTTGGTAGTTCACCAAGTTTCCGCTCCATACGGTAGTAGAACTGTCTTGACATTCCTATTGAAAATCCTGATTTTGATTTTGGTTGAAAGTTGTTTGGTGTTCCAGATATTTCTCAACTGTAGAAATGCAGCCCTCGCTTTGCAAATCCGCGCCCTCACATCTGCATCGGATCCACCTTGATTTTCGATGATGCTGCCCAGATATGTAAAGGTGTTAACGTCCTCCAAAGAATTTTCATCAAGCGTGATTTGGTTGGTGCATGTTGTGTTGCATCGGAGAATTTTACTTTTTCCTTTATGTATGTTGAGACCTACTGCTGCTACACGGGTCGTCTTCTCTTGCATTTGTTGTTGCGTGTGCGATAGTAGAGCCAGGTCATCTGCGAAGTCCAGATCGTCCAGCTGCGTCCTAACTCTCTAGTTGATACCGTGCTACCCTCCAGACCTCGACGTCTTCATAATTCAGTCGATCACGTACGTGATTAACAACTTATTATTCGTTATGTGAATGATTTGATTTTCCTTTGATGTACGAGATACTATTTGGTGGTCAAATACCAAACTTGTTCTGATACTGAATTATTCCGGAACCGACGTTCATGTGTCGAAATATTTAATCCTATAGAAAATCCACTGAGTAATCATCGCTACCATCCAGTTGAGTCAGTCAAAAACAACATTGAACTTCGTACGTACATACGTACATCAGTTCAAGTTGCTATACCATATTAGCACAGAGATGTAATTGTCAATTCAAATCCAAAAGTAGCAGAAGTATTAGCAGTTCGACGATATTATTCAAGAAATAGAATATAATGAAATAAACTCAAACATATAAAGATGATGAGGAATTCTGAAGATTAGAATTCAAGAGAACACAAAGGATGAATGCACCTGCGCCATTGCAAACGGTTTTGAGCCATGTCACTCAGGGTCTCTAACCATCGATTACTATCATCTCGCGAGGGACAACCAGGCAGCCTACATCTACCAACATGACTCAGTCCACTTGCCAGTGACTTCATGGATTTCTATCATGCTTGTTTTAGCTACCATTAGCATTTTTCCAACCTACTACACCACCAAACATAGCTTGTCGAGGCAGTTGCTGGTTGGACTTACGTAACACATATCCCAACAACTTCAAATGATGAAGTTTCACTACTTCATCTATTGATCTGCCATCCCTACCTAGTACTCGTTTCCTGACTATAGCATTGCTTACTCGGTTGTCCCAGGATACACGAGCAATGCTTCAGAGACATCTATGATCGAAAACCAGCGACTTACGAATATCTTCCACTCTCACTGCCCATGTTTCGCAGCCATATTGTAGGACGAATCGAACTACTGTGCAGTACACTTGTCCTTTGATTAACACACAGATCTCTCGCCCATGCCATAAGTGACGCAAGTCATCAAAAGCAGTCGAGCCTTATGTATCCGTGCTGAGATTTCGTCACACACCAGGCCATTAGCACTGATGAGACTCCCAAGATAAGTTAAATGACAAAATGAAACAAAAATGTAAAAGTGGACATCCCTGACGGACACCACTTGAAGTAAAGAATTCCGATGGCAGTTCGCCATAAGCTCTCACTCAACCTCTAGTGTTCGAGTAGAAAGCTTGTATAAGGTTAATGTACTTCATTGGTACACCTTTCAATGACAGACACTGCCACAGAACCTCACGATCGACAGAGTCTAATACGGCCTTATGGTCCACGAAGATGAATATAGTAGGACGCCTAAATGTGTGTCTATGTTGCACGACGTACCGTAGTGTGAAAATGTGGTCTATACAGCCACGTCCAGGTCTGAAACCAGCCTCGTTTCCTGTATTCTGCTCTTCACGAGCCCCAGTTAGGCCTCTAAGTATTATCGAGGCTAGTTGGATCGTTGGAAGTAACAGCTCATGTTCCACTTCAATGACTATCGACCATCTAAACTGTTTAGTAAACAGTTACTAGTCGTCCTTACAACTTTCGTTATTTCTTCATCATAGAAGGATATGTAACAAACTAACAGTATTAACTGTCACAAAAACTGTCTAGCTTTTGATTGGCTCAGCCGACAATTATTCATCATCGTAAAGTACCAGCCTACTGTTAAGCCTATGTAAATGCAAAGGGTGACAGTCAAATTGATTGTATAATTGAACTACTGATGTAGAATAGTATATACTGATCTTTATAGACCCACTCTACTGCAAGTATATTAATGGATGACTTTTCTCAACTGTCAACCAGAAGTCAACATTTATTGATCAGATATACCACTCCCGAAATACTGCTGAGTTGTGTAGTTTCGATCTATACTGTTATACAATTGATCGATACACATACTCAACAAATTATACAAAAGTATGGTTTAACGAAAAATTGAAAGACAGACACCAAAAAACCCACTTCCTAATGATGATACTACTGATCGTGAATCATGTCAATATGTTTAAGATAATAAGATCGACTGGGGTGTATGATGCTAAAGGTATTGGATATATTTATCGCCTGTAGCTGTCACTGACAACTGGACTGAGTCATGTTGGTAGGTGTCGACTACCTGGTTGGGGCCCGCGAGATGATAGTTATCGATGGTTGGAGACCTTGGATGACATAGCTCAAAACCGTTTGCAATGACGCAGATGCATACATTCTTTGTGTTCTCTCAGGTCCTACCTAACCTAATGTTATCTCAATGAATTATACTTCTTGAGTATTATCTTCGAACCCTAATCTCTCCGATTACTGCTAATACTTTGGGATTTGAATTGAAAATTGCATCTCTGTGCTAATGTGGTATGGCAACGTGAACTGATGTATGTACGAATGAAGTTCTATGTTGTTGTTATTGACTGACTATTTAATCGAAGTACTTATTCATAGAGGTTGGTGTTTTTTCCATCTAGGCCCATGTTTTCTTATAGCGGTTCTATACATAGTTTCAAAGTGATTTACTTGTTCAATGAATAGAATCTACATCCCCATACTTCGTAAAGATTTGAATAACATTATCTGCCCTGCATCATTTTATGAATTCATACATGTGAATCTTCAACCTAATTGATTAGATAAATGATATCACTAATATTTTCATTTTGATATTATGATTGTGAGTTCCATTCATACATTTTTCCAAACTCTCTAACAGATTTTTCATAGTGAATTTTAGGAGACTTAGATTAGAGGAAACTAAACAGATTTTCTTTTTATTGTTTATAAGTTGCTGAAATCAAATGATGGACTTATGTTGAGTAATTTTAAATCAATGAACCTATTTCTGAATATAAAATTCCGACACTAAGCGTACAAGCATATTCAAGACAGTCTCATGAAGTCTTGAGAAGGTAGTTACAAACAGTTCACACATTATTATCTAATGATGAAAGGCCAGAATCAGCGCATACCACATTCACTAATGTAATATACTGAGAGTAAGAGTGGAATGACAGTTGGGCAGTCTTTTGCTTCAATACTAACCAAAGGAAACATAAATTCAGAGGTAGCTTTTTAGAAGTTTATGCCTTGTTTCAGAATAGTCTATATGGTGGTGTAAATGGGTGAGGTTCATTCTTAAAATGTAGACAAGGTATCATCAAGTGCATACCTTAAACTAACAAAGCTAGGGTATAATGGGAAATACATTTACGCTGTGTACCTGACCGTTAGTCATTGGGAAGAGTGAGTGATGGCACTGCCACAAGTCTGGAAGTTTTGCGTTGTCCACGTAAGGATCCTATCGGTGATGTGTTTTTCAGAATGGAAGAAGATAATCATCTTGATGAACTTCCCCCCCCCCTTACCAACACATCCTTACTTGCACCTGTCACTCCTAAATGAGGCCGCTGACCCGCATTCTCCAACCAACTGTCCTGAGCTACTGACTTAGCCCATGATTGTTGTTAATATTGTCTGACGTAGCCAAACAAACACTATATCTACTTATTTTCCAACATTGTCCTGATTCTTACGTGTACCAGTTAGAAATCACTAGATCGTATTGCGAAGATATACCGGCCGAAAATATCGAAAAAATACATCATCCTAGGGTTTGTTTGAAAACGTACATTGTAAAATTTTGAACAAGCCATGTAATTGCGGACAGTCTCGTCTCGACTCGGTCACCACCAAAGTATTATGACTGAAGAGCGATATCAGTGGACGTGTGCTTGACATATGATTCTACACGACTTTCCAGTAGAGCTTACATTTTACGGAATAAATGAAATTGATGAGCAGTAACACCGCATAGAAATGAGACTTGCAAAGGATAGTAAAACGAATAAGACAATACATGATAATGAATGAAATCTTTTATTAGATGAATTCTCTCAGAATTTTCCAACAAATATGAGGTTCCTAAAATCAAACATGATGAAAATAAACAAGTAAACCGGAAACTCGTAGTATTTTAAAGTGAAACAAGCATGCCTTTTGTTAGAGTTTGAACTTTCGATTTGCCACACAGTAATTCAACTAGCTTCATAGCAAAAGCCATCGCCGTTCCAGGTCCACGACTTGTAACGAGTTTATCGTCAACAACAACAATATCTTCACAGTATGTGTAACTTGGAAGCTTATCCTCAAAGCCTGGGTAAGATGTCAGTTTTTTTCCTACGGCGATTTTGTGGGACTCCAAAGCTATCGGTGCAGCACATATTGCTGCAATATATTTGCCATGTTTTTCGTGCTCTTTCAGGATTTCCCCAACTAATTTTGATGCCGCCATAGCATTAGAACCACCCATACCACCTGGCATTACTACTAGATCAAAAAGTTTTGATGAGACGCTAGAAAGTGGAACATTTGGCTTTATATAAACACCATTGCTTCCTTTAACTACTGCATCACCTTGAAGTCCTCCAACAGTAACATTAACTCCTGCTCTAGCCAACACATCAGCAACTGTTACAGCCTCTATCTCTTCAGCTCCTTCAGACAGGATCAACAACGCCGTTGCACTCATTCTTGTTAGTCAGAGTTTGAGGTCAAACTTGGTCCGAAATTCAATATATTTGCGATAAACTTGTGTAAACTGTAGTGAAGATAGTTAATAGGCTGATCTACCTAAGTTCTTGAGATATGTCTTCTCAAGGCAATTCAGCTTAAACTAATGTAGACAGTTTGATTTATTTTTGCTTTAACCTTTGTTTAAACGCATGGTTTTCGATCTTTAGTAATGGTCCATGAGGATATTTTAACGTTTCGACTGTTAAAGTTTTGTTGAGTCTGACAGTTCCTCTGAGATCTGATATGTTTTAAGTGCGAATGAGTGCGTTCGCATCAGGATAGTGGCCTTGTTGTGAATATCAGCAGCCGTATTAAGTGGTAATGAACTGCTTGGTTTAGAAAAAACCAGGTTGAAGAACAGCAGGAAGATAAGGGTTTAAAATGAGAAACTTGATTGGGAAAATAAGTGTATGTATGCATACATTAAGTGAACGAAGAGAAAGTATTAACACCAGAGATTATTTAGAGTGGTAAATGTTAAAATCATGATGGTAAGAATAGTAACAACAACAATCGCAAGATCACAGGACAGTGTATGTATTATACGAATGCGAAAACGTTCTTTCCTGAGTAAAAGATGTGGTCGACCTTTGTTCAGGGCTGAACGCAATCATTCGTGATTTTTTCATGCTAACTTGGCTCCTTTTTGGAACTTTCTACTGAGACAGCTATAGCCACACTTGCAGGAAGCTTCAAAAGGATTTACTAATAGTTTCGAAATGCCTAAAAGCACCTGTGTGTTTGCTCGATGATCTTCAACTTGTTTCCAGATTGAAATGTTTTGCCAGAGTGACAAGAGCCACTCAGGATACAGTGAAGTCAGCTGGCCTTGTATCTTTTTATAGTCTAGCTAAAATAATCTTAAGTGATGACTTCAAAAGTCATGATATTTACCAATTACTTAACTCGATTTACTGCCTTATTCCGTACTTGTTTAAAGTGTTTCACAGCTCTTTTGAGGTGCAACGTCGATTAGCTGTCTAAAATGCTGTCAGATATAAATATCTAATGGAGATTAAAAAAGGTTGAAGTCAGTCCACGCAACTGTCTTCGGACGGTGCCTTCTTGAATGTTGACTCCAGTATGCAATCCTTCTTGTGACAAATAACATTCTACTGGGGTGCGACATTACCAACCACTTCAGTAGGATTGAGAGATCTGTGTTTCTCCCATGGTAGAAAAATGCCGTTTAATCTGCAAACGGTTATTTTTTGTCCTGTTTTGACTGCTGAGGAGATGCTGTAGGCTCGTAGAGGCTTCAGTTCTTTCTGCGCTTCCATTCAAAATGTGAGAAAGGCAGTTATTTTCCACTCTTCCTAAAACAACTGATATCTGTATTGAGTTAAGTAAATAGGGTCATGACAGACAGTGATTGTTTATTGGTTTGGTATGATCAGAAATACACTGCCGAAGCACAGAAAATTGTGGGTATTGTCTTTTATAGCTTTCCAATCAGTAGCTAGGGTACTATTCGGACTGTGACTTTTACTATGTTCCATGTTGGAATAGAGACTGTACCTGAAAGTTCGGAAACGACCAAAAATTAAGGCTCTACGACAATCGAAATCCCCTGGTCAGTGCCTTTAAAGAGCATACCTTGAACATGATGTTGTCTACAACTACAGTTTCTTACTGTGCAAAATCTTGCTTGCTAGGAATCGGTTCGCCCTACACACGGTCCTCCAAGGGTAAAAGCAATCCACAGTCAAAAGCGATAACACTTTTCGAGTGCCAAAGTTTAAACCGTTCTATTGAGTGGAATATAAGTGAGCTAGTGACGACAGTATATGTGCGTAGAACAAACCTACAAAGAATCAGTGTAAAAAGGAGCCAAGAAAAAGACTTTAGCACCAGATGAGGCTACTACGTAAATTTGTTTTCTATACGAAGAACTTATTCCATCACTCAGCCTCACTTCAACAGGTGAAAACAGGAGTTTCCAAATTATAAAGTCCTACCGCAGGCAAACCAATGTCCTCAAACGTGTCAACCAATACAAACGACCCACATTAATGAGAGCTTCACTACCAACTTAAACCCTAGTCTGGTTTTTCAAATACCGTATGAGTTGAACAAGGACATTTCTCTTGGTCAGGATATGGTTCAGTTCGCTGTTCTGAAAAGAGCGGCTTTAATCTTAACAAAACCGCTTATCCGCCACGTGCATACACAATCCGAAACAAACGGAAGCTGGTTCATTTCAAAACTTTTTCACAAAAAAGGGCGACGCAATGAACTTTCGATCTGTCGGCCAGTGGCACTTTCAATAATCTAAGCAAACAGCACTATGTTCCGAAATTAGTTTTACGCTGTTTGTTATGCACGTGGATTATCATGTATCTACCGTTCGCTTAAATGTGGTCGCCAATGAGACCACAGGTTGTACTTTAATGTTCAGCGACCATATAACCTATCGTTTCACTAAAATGAAGTTGGAATATTCTGTCTTTTTATCCTGTCGAAAACTGCTCTTGAAAGCTGTGGAAAAAGTAGTATCGCTTATATCCGTTTCTTTATCCAGTGACAAGTATGACCACCAACGGAAATAAATACGTTCCTTATCCTTCGATGATACTGTTTTTACACACTTGACTGAATAAAAATATCGTATCAAATCGTCAGATATATAGCTTAGTGATGCCAGTTGTTTAGATATTTTCTAGGATTTGTGGATACTTGCTCATTGGTCAAGAGATTAAGCGTTCGTACGCGAGACCGAAGGTTCGATTCTCGGCAGCAGGGGCAGTGGAGGCACACTACTGAAGAGTCCTTTATTAGGACTAAACGGCCATCCAGTGCTTCCTGGATTCTAATGGTGGTCTAATGACGGTTGATTCATGATTTCAATGAAAAAAAACACTCAAAAACTCTTCAATGTATAAGCCAAAAATATCTTTCTGATTTGACCATGATCATGTGGACCTCATGTATTGATAGCCCACCTCTGGATGCCGTCTTAGTGGTATAGATGCAATGTGTTTGCGTGCTTAAATGAGGGTTCGTTATTCGCCCCCCTTGTGAATGGTCATGGATGAGCACTGGTGCGGAGTCCCATTGGAAAGTGCCCCCTTTTCTTGAAAACCGCTTTATATGGATATGCGGGTCTGAATGTGAGGTAGTCGAATGATTAGTCATATTTGTATTAGGCACGAGCTGCAGTTTGTCATTTCCACCTGGGTCTTTTATCAGGAGTAGAAAATAATCTGGTTTGTTCAGTCTGAATGGAACATGTAAACATATCCAATGACATAGGCTCTGTCTCCACTATGGCTTATAGACAGCCAAAGTAACAAATCTGTCAACCACATCCATTCAAAGATTGCAGAACTGTAAGATAGGTCTGTCTCCAATAAATGCTCGGTTTCTAGTTGCTCCAGCTGAAACATACATGTTTACTCAGAACAAAACAAGAACTTTTGCAGTAGCTACTAGATCCGGACTAAATTAGTTGCTTGGAAGGTTAAATAAAACGCCACAATGTTTATTATCCTTCACGTTCTAGTCATGTGCAGCAAATAATTACTGATTTCATATTATCACTTTCCTGCTTCGAAACTTACATCTCGCATTTTCATCTTCAGATTGTCTCACATTCTACTTTCTAGTTTTTTGAGAGACACTCGGAGTAAGTATGTTGCCACAAGCACTTACACTATAACTACCAGAACGACATATCGAGGTCCTAACTCGGGGTTTGTCATAAGTCGAAATCCCCGTTTCTAGCAACGGGATCATAAGAAAGCTGGAAATAACTCTGAATAATGGATCTCGGAGTAAATGTATAACACAGATCATTCGACACAAAAACTTCAACAAGTCTGCCGTTAAGTAATCAGGATGATAGCCCCGCCCAGATTCCTACTCCCGATACGACTAGTCGGTAAACAAGTAATGGGAAGAAATGACATCTTGAACTTCCAATGACGCTGCCTACTGTTGTGAAGTGTTATAAATGTAGCACATGCTATTCTCCCGTTAAGAGCGGAGACAGAATTTGAAAATAACTTTTGTAGCTGCTGGTTTCACTGTTGTTGTGATACTTTGATACCTTGTCGTACTACAAGTTCATATAAATTCACCCCTGTCCATGGTTTTGATATGTCTTCCTACAATACAGAACAAATAGTTAAGCGGAAATAACAAAAGATATGGAAATGTCTACACTGGAAACAAAATGTGGGTCCTCATCTATACAAGTAATTCGTCCAACGCGAGATCACTCCAACAGGTGACCATGGAAACCACTTAGTGAGTTCATACGCCATTGAAATCACGCATTTTTTCAATGGCTATACTAGGAAGATAGATGGAAACAACGTATCTAATATTACCCTGAAAAATGTCGACCATTTTCATTTTCCGGTAGCTTACCAGAAAGTAGGACTAAGACTGTTAGGTATCCGCATTAAATGGCTCTGAACTTCAGAAACCCTAAGGATCTGAATGATGTACTCCAGGCCTGGCGAAGCATGGAAGATTATCGTTTTGATCATATCAAATGTGAGAGTTAATCCTGATTGGTGAGGCCAGATAAAACATTAAACAATGTCGGCTGACCTCAATCAACAATGTACAGTAGAAGACGCCAAGACCGGTGTCTCACCAATAAAATACACTATACATACGAAAGATCCACACAGTTTAGTTCCCACAGAACTGGTAGAGTTGGGGACCAAACCTTATAAAATAGACTCTGGCACTTGAGTTTATTTTCACTGAGTTACGGTAGAATCAGAAGGGGTCTGATAATGGTGTGCAACATATTAAGCTAGTCGAATCATCCAAATCTGAGAATTTTCTGAATCATCACCATCATGCGCTTCGGGGTAATCCTCGAAAAGCGAACACCCAAATTCGTGCACACCTTTTCTCATCAGGAGTTGTTAAGAACTGGAATGCTCTCTTGACCAAGTTGAATATAGCCTAGTTAGTTGATTGATACAAGAAAAGATTTGATAAACACGTACTCACATACAGATTATCATCTCCCTCCTGGACCAGCTAAGCCTGACACATGTGCCGAAAGTCACTAGTTGCTATTATTGTAATTTCCTCAGATCACTAACTTATTCTACCTCGCCTATCATCTCTACTTCCTCTTCCGTCCTCCAACAAAATTCTCATTACCAATTGATTAACTTATCCATTTATCTACGTAGTTTCAAAATCTGATTAACATAACAATTTTCTACTTTTTATTTCCCACACTACAAGTAAATAACCTCCAGCCTAGTAACGCGATAGATGTTGGTACCCAGAAACCCTCTTTTCATGAAACAAATACACTCATTTAAATCACGGGACATATAAATTGATGAATAACTGCCAACTGACTGGAATTAGGGCAACTGAGTGGCTAGGCTACCAATAATTGGATATTACCAAGTACCTGAAACTGTACAGGAGGAACGGGAATCGAGGGCAAAGAGACTAACTGGTTTTTATTAGATCATGAAAAACATATTGGATATTGAATGGAAACACTACTTATATTCATTACTATAACAACATCACTTTCGCGCTTACAAAATCATGAAAATGAAAGAGGGAGAATTCACTGCCGCAATATATGGTGCAATTAAAGACCAAAAGTATAAGGAAACCGTAAATATACTGAATCAGCAACTTCTCGTTCATCCAACCAGTCGAGCTGCACTTTCATTACTCGGTTACTGTTATTATCAACTACAGGATTTCGTTAGTGCTTCTGATTGTTATGAACAGTTGACTCAGATTTTTCCTGAAATAGAAGAATATAAATTTTACTTCGCACAATCATTATATAAGGCAGGCTTGTTTCAAGCTGCAACTAAAGTAAGTGATTTTGTTCCGATATCTCATATCCAATATTTTCTGATGCACTAGTACAAACCGTTTGATTTCTTTGTGCTTGCTTGTTCTTTGGTACTATTTCAGGTGTCTGTTTTGCTTTGCCAGGAAAACCATCAAGATGATATATTTAAGATCAACATAGTCTCATTATACGTCAATTTAGGATTTTTTGATATTAAACTAAGCTTTTTATATCTCATCTCATAAGAGATGATATTACGGTGCTATATATAACCAGAATGGTACCTAAAAATACTTAGGAAACATATTATTGAATTAAACTGGCTATCCTCACCAATTTTACGGTGCATCCCACCCACGGACATGCATATAAAACTCATGGAAACTTTGACTTTGCAGCAACATTTGAAACCGGCTTACTGATGTAAATGTGAATCTTTAATCATAAAAGAGATAATAAATGCAACACACTGCCTTATATAGCTTTGTATTCGCAATTATATTTTGGCTCACTAAAGATATGTGTGAAGCAGCACCACAACTATCAACCGTCAAATAATTTTTCATCACTTTAGTCTCGTTTTGGAAAGTACAAAAAGCTAGTGACCTGTGTTATTCCTAGCAATGCTGGTTTATCAATCGTTTTAACCATGAACTGACGATGCGAAAGTTGATGATCAGTTGATACGCAATGTTTTCTAGGCGTGTGAAATTTTTGAGTATCCTCGTCATTGTTTGTCTGGATAAGAGACAGATCCATGTTATTCAGCATGCAAGTATCTGTCCTTTTGTGACCAATATATATCAGCATTTCTTTGTATCCGGAAAATCCTAGATAATTCAGACCTTTAATGTAGATCATTTTGTAGTTGTAGACTATCATCACCAACTTTCGTGTGCTACCAAGTGATCTGGGTATTTAAGCAGCTCCCTTTGGATAATATTTTCTAAAATTTTCACAAAAATGTTAGTTTGGCTTACCGTACGATAGTTCTTAGTTGTCTGGCTCATGTCTATTTTGATCATAAGAATCACAATAACGTTCTCAAGAGTCTTTTGGTAATCTACCTTGGGTTACAGATAGACCAAAACATATGCCTAAACGATTTGCATTGAAATCTAAGACTTTCTTTAGTAACTTTAGAGTGCATTCCATCGAGTCCCTTGGATTTACCTGAATGAAACTTATTTTACGGACCAAGAACACAGTGTCACCAAATTTTTGCTGTGTTCAGAGTGTGTGTGATGGTAGTTTGTGTAAAGTGAAAAGGATGAGCATCTCTACGATGTATAAATCACTAAGGTAATTCAATCCTAGGATTTACCGAAATTTCTTCTTACCAAGACGCAATACTTTTATTTCCACAGTGATGGAATGCCGCCCATTTCATTAGTCCTTTGGTTAATATACGTATATAAGCGTTTATGGTAATTCACCAAATTCTTAACAGGCCTTTCTCAATACAATCTCTTAGATTGGCGGAGGTTGTGGCAAAAATATTTTCAACTCCCATATATGGAGATTTTGTCTCACCAGTGCCCGGCAACCTAGATATCCTCCACATTGTTGCACTTACACATGAATTTAACCAGGTCAGCTGTATTTGTTCTAAAGGATTTTCTGACAACTCGATCCTAAGATTTTTCCAGTCTATCGGTCACTTGAAGACGACATCGTGTTATTAATGATTAGACCTACTCCTCATGTACTCCTCATACTTCGACTCAATTTAACTCTTAATTGTGTGAAATCTTGAAAATCAAGAACTCTATCGTCTACGGCCTGGGTCAGTCAAGTTTATGCGATGGCATTAAACTCAGGCTTGATGGAGCCTAGCTTCTTGAGTAAGCTTCAGGTATTTCTAAAATGTATCCAAAGAATACCTACATGGCTTTGTACTGCACTGAAATTGACTTTAGTACCATTATCTATCGAAGCCATACTATACTACCTAAAAGTTTGTGATTCTGAGGTCCTCGTTATTATGTGGGCTTTATTTTATCTCCTTTTCAATGTCACGTTTTTCATACAGTACGTGAAAGACAAGTCTTTATGCATAAAAAATTCCGATCCTTTTAATTTAAGTCCATTTCAAAAAGTAATAAGTCTCTTTCGCTCACAGATTTAAACTCCAGTTTTAGAAACCTGGTTTGATTTTCTATAAACCTTCTACAAAGTCATCCTAAAGATTTTTCAAAGCATTTGATGGTTAAGTAGACCTTTTATTGATCCAATTTTGTGCTTAATGCGAGTTCTGTGCTCAGAGTTTTTGGGCACTATGACTTTATGAAAGATGACTGACCATTCGTTATAACCAACCTTCGACTTCTGTTCAGAAGATTGACTTTTCTTTAAAGAAATTAGGTAGTTTCCTAATCACTAATTAGTGCACATTCATCAGTTTTCACTCGATTATCATTTACAGTTGTATCAAAAAAACTGTGAGTTCCTGGATGACTTTTGATGACTTGGGTGTTCAGGTTGTTGTTTTTCCTATTATAATTGGGTATAGTTTTACTACTTGATTTCTTATGTATATCCCGATTGCTGTCATCTGGAAAGAGGATCATAAAGACACTTGCTTTCTTAAGTTTTTATTTCTGACGGACCTCTTTAAAGTCTGTCGTTCCTTCTTTGACTTGTTTAAGTTAGTTTACTCAGCTTATTTGTGATGGTTGCACGTCAATTTATGTATTAACTGAGTAAGTATCATTAGATACACTTCGGTTGTGCTTATTAGTATGCCTTTAAGCAGCTTTTAGCATTTCGATGGCTTAAGATGGCAAGTCGTTTGCATCCGAGCACCAAATGTATTCATTTTTTTTACCATAAGGTTTCAAAGCCAGAGGTTTTAGATTCATGCTAAATTTCGTGAAACTGTCCTCTTCACTCATCACAATGCATACCACTTTCCATAGGATATATTGACAATCTGAAGGTTGGAAGTTGCTTATTTAGTTAGCATTGTCGTGTTATCAATTAGATCTTTTCAAGTGATTTAGACACAAAAACAAGTAGAGACAAGAACTCATGATCAGGACTAAAGAAACATGTATTGTCAAGCAAAGAATTGCATTAAAGAGAGGCAAATCAATATATTGAATAAAAATTTAGACATCATATACACACAGATCCTTTTGTTAACTAACTTAAAAGGACCAAAAACAAGGATTGATACCAAGTAACATCAGTACATCGTATTTCACCAGGTTCTCATCTGCTGCTTACACCCTGTAATATATATTTGTTTCTAATTCTACTCTATTCTGAAATATGTATATATATATAGAAGAAAGATAGTTTGAAATTGTCTTTTTGCGATTTTCAATGCTCACAAGTCTACTTATTTAAAACTTCATGTAGAATAACATATAAAATCACCAAACACTACACAGGGGCATGATAGATATCATAATTTATTAACAATAAATATTCAAAGATAAAATAATACCATTGTATGGTTTTTTAAAATAATGTTTGCGATATTTTTTTTTCACTTTCAAACAAACAAACAAACAAAACAAAAAAGACTGCAGCTCAAATTGAAAGTTTAAATTTTAAAGATAAACTTAACAAACTTATTGCTGCTATACATTATGGTGAAGGTGATTTATCTGGTTCACGTAATTTAGTTGGACAAAATCCACCTGGTGATATTGATTCAATTGTTAATCTTGGTTGTTTATATTATCGTGATGGTGATTATCAAAAAGCTTGTCAACAATTTCAACAAGCTATACAAGTTAGATTATTATTATTATTATTATTATTATTATTATTATTATTATTATCTCTTTGAACTGTCTTTATTATTTGAATTTGAATAGAGAAATGAGAAGACATATTTTGTGAGATAGTACCGTTGCGTGCTTTCTCGTCAGTCACATACATACAAGTAACATGTTATTTGTGTAAATACAGTTTTGGTCATCAGAACACAACTACGATGAAGCTGATAGCAACTGATGTACCCAAGAAACCAGTGTACCTACAGTTACCATTCAAGGGTGATCATTGCATGAAAATTACAACCAAACAGACTGCAGCTGCAATAATAAAAGACTTTCAATGCAGATAATCTGAAGCTTATCACAACAACTCAATCGATCTTAGTTAGCCCAATCAAGTCTCCAAGACCGATTCAGTCCAAATCCCACTGTATTTACCAATTCACATGTAACTGCGGAGAAGGTTACTTAGGGAGGACAGATCGCCGATTGGAAGACAGGATAGGGGAACATATTCCAAGATGGTTAATCGAATCCATGATTCATCAACCTAGCCCATCATCTCAAAATCGATCAAGAAACCCAGCCTCGTCCATTCCAAAACATCTAATGATGAGTGGTCATCAAATTGACCCAAAATCAGCCTTTAAAGTTGTGACATGTCATCAAAACCCACACACACACACTGAAACTACTCGAAGCTATCTTGATTGGTCGGAAAAGTCCAACTTTAAGTGTTCAAAAACAACTGTATGTTGACCTTTGTTTACTTACCATGGTTCTAGTGAGTGAATGTCATGCTAAATAAGAAATTTTGTCCTTATCTTCAAAACTGTATTTACACAAATAACATGTTGCTTGTATGTTGTGACTGACGAGAAAGCACGAAATGGTACTATCTCACAAAATATATCTTCTCATTTCTCTATTCAAATTTATCAAAGGGAACCACTGTTTTGAATTTATTATTTGAAATTAAAACTCACAAACTACCTGTTTTACATGAAAATGTATCAGTTCTTTAGCGTAGTTGTGGGTTAGAAGAAAGTTGAACATTTGTTTATGAAATTACTGATTGAGTTGTGTTAGTAAGTGTGGACTGTTTGATTAAAGTCTGCTCGACTATCGTGACACTAAGAGTTAGAGAAACGTCGACTGACATGACACATAATCATTTGTAGTTGTGTAGCTGCATTCAGTCATTGTTACAATTCCTATTCTGAGTTCCTACAAAACAATTTTAAAAGCATCATTCTAAGAATTCACATTCTTTCTCTATGCTTGATTTGTTCTTCTGCTACCAATATTACTACTAATACTAATACTATAGTGTATCAGTCAGTCAGTTGCAACGTAGAACTTCGTACGTAAGTACATCAGTTCATGTTGCCATACCACATTATTAGCACAGAGACGCAAATGTCAAATCAAATCCCATAGTGATAAAGATAGTAGAGGTATCAATGGTAATGAAGAAGACTAGGGTTCGAAGATATTATTAAAGAAGTATAATTCAGTGAGATAAGGTTAGAAGACAAAATCAGAGGTGCTGACGAATCCAGAAGATTAAGATTTGAGAGAGCTCAAAGAATGGATGCATCTGAGCTATTGAAAACGATTTTGAGCCATGTCGTTCAACGTTTCTAACCACTGGTGACTTTCGTCTCGCGGACCTCAACCAGGTAGTCTACATCTACCAACGTGACTCAGTCCACTTGTCAGTGACTTCATGCATTTCTGCCATGTTTTGGTCTGGCCGCCTCTAGCTTTCTTCCAATCTACTCCTTCACCATAAAGCATAGCTCGTCGAGGCAGTCGGTGGTTAGGCATTCGTAACACATGTCCCAACCACCTCAACTGATTAAGTTTCATTACTTCATCTATTGATCTGCCATCCTTACCTAGTACTCGTTTCCTAACGGTAGCATTGCTTACTCGGTTGTCCCACGATATATACTCTATACACTATAGTGTATGCTACAATATAGTTTAGCCTATAAACATTACTCAGTGCATATGCAGCAAAATGTCTTCCTGAAGTTGCAGTCAAAACAAAGAGTGTCAGATTCAAATTTATGATGCAATCTGGGTGTGTTGAGGAATAGAAAGCATGTAATAGAAGACAGAGAGGGAATGAACTTCTTGTGCAAATGTATGTTTTGTGATGAGGTGTACATCTTTTGGACAGTAGATCGTCTTTCACTACACTACTAATGTAGTGAAGGAGAACACAGGTGAGGGCAACCGAATGTATTTAACGAAAATTACAGAGTTACTCAGTAAAATAGGAAAACCAGATCGTAACCGTTAATTTGCAAATCTTCAATCCATTGTCTGACAATTCACTATTCATGCGTTTCATACGAATTCCATTGTGTTCCCACTCTTCCTTTCTTGATTTTTCCCCCATTTTCTGCTGCCAAACATTACGTTTACACTCGCGTCATATACTACTTATAAGTAGCGCGCACCACACTACTAGTAATAATAATTATATTGATAATAAAGATCAATAATGAGAATAAACTATTACTGCAATTCTATTTTTGACACTTTTCATCTATTTGTGATGTTGAAGTGTGAGAACTTGAGCCTGTGCACATATTTGTCAAGTTCTAACTAGTTAACAACTGACTGACTTGTATCCAGTAACACAGTCGTAAATCATTCATGAATACTTCGCAGTAGAATGCTGAGGATTTAGTTTTCCCATCCTTAAATTGTATAAAAAATACCTGTTCTACCAAAAAAAACATAACTCCAGCTGTGTTTAAAAACTTAATCAGTTCAATAATATACTGATAATCACGAGACTTGTATTATCTTACTTACTTACTTACGCCTGTTACCCCAAATGGAGCATAGGCCGCCCACCAGTTTTCTCCAACCAACTCTGTTCTGGTTGGGCTTGGGACCGGCAGTAGCCCCGAAGGTTCTACTGGCGGAGTTTTGTATTATCTACCGACTTTAATATAATGGTTATCTCAATATTAAATAGCTATTATTGTAAAAATTAGTCTTTCTGATTGGTTTCATTTCCCTAGCGATAGTCATTAAACCGATGTACAACTGCTGTGTAACAAAAATCCATTTGAATGATTTTTTTTTATTCGTTAACTGACAGGGCAAACCAAATCCCAAGTGTGGGGGACTCATCAGCAGTGTGCATCCACGAACTCACATCCGGGAATCGAACTCAGGAGAATCGGCCTTGCCCACGAACTTTTAACCTATCGACCACAGAGGAGGCATCCAATACTGTTATTGTCTAACTTTTGATTAATCTAAGGTTTTTCGCAACATTTTTCACTGTCTTCGGTAGTGAATGCCTACACTCTCCAGGATTGAACTCCACTAGTCAAGCCTTCTTCTCACTAGAACTTCCAAAATTTCTTAACGAAGCTAGTAGTCACTAATGAACACATTTTATGGTTTTTCATTATGAAGTTATGGAGATTGTTATTTTACATTGAAATTATGAATCGATCGTTGTTAGACCACCATTAGAAACATGGAAACGCTGGAGAGCTGTTTCGTCAAAGTATGGGACTCTTCAGCAATGTACTTCAAAAGTGACCTTAATTAGAAAGCACTAGACAACCACTCTATCCTAGTATAGTAAGTCTGTCTAAGTAGTGCACATCCATAAGAATACCGACAATCAAATTCACGAATTTTAGCTCAATCAGATAAAAGTTACAACAATCATCAAAAATTCTTTTTACTGATTACTTTCACGAATAGTCACACTTATAACCTAATACTCTACCACTATAGATTACAATAGCAGGCTGGTTATCTTATGACTTAGTTCTAAGGTTTAATTTATCGATCAGCTTTTCTTTAGGTCCTTTTATAATATTTTCACAAATAGTTTAAATAGATTCTTAGAATTCAAACAATCAAATTACTCTTTTTGTGTTTAATTTTTTTGCTTTCAAGACCACTGGTTTTAAACCACAATTAACTTATAATATTGCATTATGTTATTATCAAATGAAAAAATATGCACAATCATTAAAATATATTGCTGATGTAATAGAACATGGAATAAGAGATCATCCAGAACTTGGTGTAGGGATGACTACAGAAGGTTTAGAAGTACGTAGTGTTGGAAATACACTAGCATTGCATGAAACTGCTTTAATTGAAACATTTAATTTAAAAGTGAGTTATTGATTGATTATTTTTATAGTTGTTGTTTCTTAGTTTAGTAGGACTCTTCAGCATGACATACTCACTAATCATTCTATCAGGGTTCCAATTCATTTAATGTATTTATTGATACATGATATAATGGAGTAATTACTGTAATTAAAAATTATATAATCATGACTAAAGTAACCAGAATATTGATTTATCCATAAAGCCTATCAGCGAGAAGCAATGACAGATGAATTGAACATATATATACTTCCACCTGAAGTCGACTTCAATGATGTTATACAAGGTAATAATCAAAGTTCCACAATTGCATTATCTAGATGAGAGGACACCACACTAGCGTAAACAAGTAGAGCACTAATAACAGTTTAATTTTCATATATTTATATATATATTACCTTGTGTAACATCATTGGAGTTGACTTCAGGTGGATGTAAACTCATAGGAATGACTGAATTCCTTTGTTGGCTTATTGACTCCGAAGTGAATATAACACAAACTACTGTATAATATTCAGTAGTATAATTAATACACAAAAAGAAGCGAGCAAAAAATATGTGAAATGGCTTCGATGTCAATATTAATGTTCAAAGGTTGTGAAGATATGTTTATTTTGGATTTCAATTTTAGCATGGAGTGATTCAGTGAGGAAAAATATTGAAAACAAATGTTCAAAATTAGAACAACACAGATATAAGCGAACAATATTGTTTTCGATTAGATCGTCATCAGGCTCTATACTCTAATATATATACATGAATATCTATATGAAAATGTTAAACCAATCAAGGCAATTTGAATGATAATCACAATGAAATGAAAAAGATTACGTCACTACATATAATAGGAAAAAGTACAAGTGGATAGTAGGAATACAGGTGTACTGATAGTAGTAAGTAAATGTTCAAGAGATATTTTCACTTCGCTTCATTGGAACTCTTCAGTAATAGCGGACGAAACACGACCTGGCCATCGATTGTACCAAACACACATTCATTTTTGACACTGAACCTAATAGATTTAGCGTACTAGGTCAACATTCAGTATCTAAAATAGTTGTGAACAGTCGATTTGAACTTCATCGAACATTGTTTAGCTACCTTCTATCTAAATGATTGCACGTACATTATTGTTAATCAGAATCGTAGATAATTTTCGCATAACTGAGGGGAAACCACAGCTAATGTAGTGGTTCAGAGGTTAAGCGTTCGTGTGTGATACAGAAAGTCCTAAAGTTGACTCCTGTGTCACAAGAGTCGTGGATGCGTACTGCTGATGAGTTCCATACCAAGGTCAGATGGCCGTCCAGTGCTTCCAGGTTTCTAATGCTGTTCTAACAATGATTGTTTCATGATTTCAGTGCGTAAACAAAAACGATCTCCGTCAAAACTAAAAATGAGAAATCAAATTAAATATTTCATTTACCAATAACATTTGATGTTGTACTGAAATAAATTTTAAATAGTTTCATAAATATTAACTCCCACTCATACATAATGATCAAGACACGAGTTATATATGCATAAACAGTTTGCTCATTTGAACGTATAAAGTTTCCTACTGTAGGAGTACTTTGACAAAGAGATTTAACAGTGAATAAACCAAGATGTCACTGACCTGTGTGGACAGTTGTGGTTTTCACACATTGAAATCATGAACGAGTCATTGTTAGACTACCACTAGAAGAAACCTGGAAGCAGTCGACGACCGTCAAGTCCTATAACGGGACTCTTCAGTAGTGCTTATCCACGACCGCTGCTACTCTCAGAATCCAAACCCAGAACCTTCAGTCTTGCGCGCCTACTTCTAATTAATCTCTGGACCACTGACCCAGTAGTACCCAACGATGTTAATGTCCAACTCTAGTCAATCTAAGGATTTTTTGCAACTTCACCCCTTGTTTTCGATGGTTAATGCCTACACTCGACAAGGTTGAACTGTACTGGTCACGTCTCTCTCACTAGAACTCTGAGAATTTCCTCATAAAGTGACATGATTTACAATCTATATAATTATATCAGTCTTTACTCCTTTCTGATTAATTATTATATACGGTTTTTTTTCCTTTGACAAACAACATCTTTATTATTTTCATGTAATAAGGCAGCTATAGAATTTAATTTAAAAAATTCAATCTCAGCTTCTGAAGCATTAACTGATATGCCACCAAGAAGTGAAGAAGAACTTGATCATATCACTTTACATAATCAAGCATTAATTAATATGGATATGGAACCAGGTGTTGGTTTTCAAAAATTACAATTCTTATTAAAACAAGAAACATTTCCACCAGAAACATTTGCAAATTTATTATTACTTTATATTAAATATGAATATTATGATTTAGCAGCTGATGTATTAGCTGAAAATGCAACTATAGCATATGAATATTTAACAACTGATTTATTTGAATTTATTGAAGCTGTTATACTTAGACAAACTGCACCACAAGATGCATTCAAGTAAGTTGATATTTATTGTAAATGAACAGTGAGCGATTTATTTTACGTATACAAACAATTACTCACGCTATAGGAGATGTTAAGCTAAGAACTATTCTATCACGTTTTCGAATGCAACTTAAGTCGATAAGTATGTGCATTATTCAGTGTGACAAAGAAGGGTAGGAATATATACACGAAATAATAGATACCAGTTCATCCGTAAAAAACACCAATAACTGAATTCTTCAGACATTTTTTTGAGCGAGTGGCATTTTGCTCCGTCCTAGTTTATGGCTGTGAAACATGGACAGTCAGAGTTGAAGATATTTGTAAGTTGTTGGTTTACGATCATAGGTGTCTCCGAAGCATTGCTCGTATATCATGTGACAAATGAGTAAACAATGCTGTCGTTAGAGAACGGCCACTAGATAAGGGTGGTAGATCAATAGATGAAGTGTTGAGACGTCATCAGCTGAGGTGGTTAGGATATGAATTGCGTATGCATAACCACAGACAGCCTCGTCAAGCTATGCTTTGCGATATAGGAGTAGGTAGGAAGAAAGGTAGAAGCGGCCAGATCAAAACATGGCGGAAATCCATGAAGTCAATGATAATTGGACTGAGTCATGTTGGTAAGTGTTGACTACCTGGTCGGGGTCCGCGAAATGACCGTAGTCGACGGTTAGATACCTTGAATGACATGTCAGTCAGTCAGTTGCAACGTAGAACTTCGTACGTATGTACATAAGTTCATGTTGCCATACCACATTATTAGCACAGAGACGCAAATGTCAAATCAAATCCCATAGTGATAAAGATAGTAGAGGTATTAATGTTAATAAAGAAGACTAGGGTTTGAAGATATTATTCAAAAAATATAATTCAGTGAGATAAGGTTAGAAAAACAAAGGTAGAGGTGCTGGCTAATCCAGAAGATTAGGATTTGAGAGAGCTCAAAGAGTGGATGCACCTGCGCCATTGCAAACGATTTTGAGCAATGTCGTTCAAGGTCTCTAACCATTGATGACTTTCGTCTCGCGGACCCCAACCAGGTAGTCTACATCTACCAACATGACTCAGTCCACTTGTCAGAGACTTCATGGATTTGTGCCATGTTTTGGTCTGGCCGCCCCTAACTTTCTTCCAACCTACTCCTACGCCACAAAACATAGCTCGCCGAGGCAGTCGGTGGTTAGGCATACGTAACACATGTCCCAACCACCTCAACTGATGAAGTTTCACCACTTCATCTATTGATCTGCCATCCTTACCTAGTACTCGTTTCTTAACGACAGCATTGCTTACTCGGCTGTCCCACGATATACGAGCAATGCTTCTTAAACATCTATGATCGAATACTAGTAACCTACGAACATCTTCTACTCTTAACGGCCATGTTTCACAGCCATATAAGAGAACGGAACGAACTGCTGCGCAGTACACTCGTCCTTTGGTTAGCGAACGGATATCACGCCTACGCCATAAGTGACGCAGGTTGGCAAAAGCCAATCGAGCTTTCTGTATCCGAGCTGAGATTTCGTCAGTCACCAGACCGTCAGCACTGATGAGACTCCCCAGATAAGTGAAGTGATCAACACGCTCGACTACTTCACTCCCTATCACTAGTTCAGGTGCCGATGCAACCCAATCTTGAAGCAACATTTTGCATTTCGAGGGGGAAAACCGCATCCCGAACATGCTCGCATTGTTGCTTATGGTAGTCAGAAGACTCTGCATTTTGTCAGCGTCTTCACCGAATAGAACTATGTCATCGGCATATTCTAGATCAGTAAGCGACTTTCCTGGTAGAAGTTCAACCCCTGAAAAATCTGACGAGCTTAATGTTAACTCTAAGAGGATGTCTACGACAAAGTTAAACAGGAATGGAGAGAGTGGACAGCCCTGACGGACACCACTTGATGTAGAGAATTCAGATGACAGTTCGCCATATGCTCTCACCCGACCAGTGGTGTTCGAGTAGAGTGCTTGTATAAGGTTAATGTACTTCTTTGGTACACCTTTCAATGACAGACACTGCCACAGAACCTCACGATCCACTGAGTCAAATGCCGCCTTAAGGTCCAGGAACACGACTATTGTCGAACGTCTAAATGTGTGTCTGTGTTCCAGGACCTGTCGTAGTGTGAAGATGTGGTCTATACAACCACGTCCAGGTCGAAAACCAGCCTGGTTTTCTCGAGTCTGCTCTTCGCGAGCTCTAGTTAGACGTCTAAGTATAATCGAGGCTAACAATTTAGAAACTATATTAGTTAAACTTATTCCCCTGTGATTGTCACAAAAGGACTTCTGTCCTCTCTTGTAGATTGGGACAATAAGCGACTGAGACCAGTCAGATGGGATTACGTCCATTTCCCAGATTCTACCTAGGATCTCGGTCAGTCTAACCGTTAAAACTGGACCACCATCCTTAAACATCTCAGGGGTAAGCCTATCGGGACCTGCCGCTCTACCTCTCCTTAGATTTCCTATAGCTTTCTCAACTTCATGTAAACTGGGAGGACTTGAATCGATTTGCCATTCTGGATGACTGGTGATCGTGGGTAGCCGAAGTGTGGCTGAAGGCCAGTTGAACTGATCCCTAAAGTGTTCTGCCCATCGGTCCAGCCTCCTAGATTGAGAATGGATAATAAGACCATCCTTTTCCGAGATAGTCTCACTCACATTCGGGTTCCTTATACCGGTTTCTTTAATAAGGCGGAAAAGTTGTCTACTGTTGCCGATCGCCGCTGCCTTTTCCATCGCTTTTGCTTTCGCCACCCACCACTGTTCACGGTCGTTACGTAGGCTTTTTATAAGTCTGCGCCTAAGCTGACTACGCTCTTCATCATGTTCAGAGTCAGGTGGGATGCGTTTTCGAGCATCCATCAGTTCGGTGGATGCGACTGAAATCCACTGCTTCATCCTAGCCTTGTGGTTTACCTTGCTAGCAGATACCATTGCTGTTTCCACAGCCTTCTTGATATGATTCCAACCTGCTTCAGGATGGGAATCACTCTCATGGCCGCCTAACTGTTTTTCTAGTTCCTCCTGAAATATTTTCTTAGCTTGATTATCATCAAGTAAAGCCCTAAGAGGCTTCCTTACGGTGTCTTTCCTACGTCCAGCAAGCAGGCTCAAACAAATACGTGCTCGCACTAGGGCATGATCTGAATCCAAACATGTGCCCCAGAACGAGCGACAGTCCTCTGTCGAACCCCTCCATCGGTGGCTGATGGCGATATGATCTAGTTGTGTCCAACGTTGAGATGACTTCGGGGGTCGCCAGGTCAAAAGGTGTTTTTCCTTATGCTTAAAATTAGTGTTTGCTAGAAATAGTTGGTTATCTGAGCACAGTTGCAACAGACGGTCGCCATTGTCTGTTCTTTGAGCCGCGAGACCGTAACATCCACCTAGGTGTCTTTCATTTTCATTCAGTCTACCTACTTGTGCATTGAAGTCACCAGCCATTATAACTATATCAGAGCGCTTAACTTTTTGGAGGAGGTCCGAAAGCTTTCTGTAAAACTCATCTTTTACATCATCTGGGCTGCAGTCAGTGGGGGCGTAGGCTGATATGACGAAGAGGCAACGGCGAGTGTCCCTATCTTTCCGAGCCCTTACTGTCCCGTTCAGTCGGACGGCTCACAAGCGACTATCTACAGGGATCCAGTCAAGGAGAGATTGTTCTGCCCTACGACTCAATGCTATGCCTACACCGGCGAGGCCCCTAGAAGCAGCATCAGGGCTACCGGATACACGAAAGGTAAATCGAGCTGCTTCTTTATCTTGACATGGTGAGGTCAAAAGAGTGATGCTACTCGGATCCTGTATGCGCGTTTCCGAGACGCAGCACACATCGATGGAACGAGATTCTAAAGTCCTAGCTAATGATGCCTGTCGCCCTATTTGACACAATGTCCGTACATTGAATGCTCCAACATGTAGTTTGGAACGGGGTTTAAGGAGACCAGGAACGACGTTTCGCAAACTCGCATCGTTTGCATTAGCTGTGCACTGTAATAAATGAATGTGAGAAGAGTTAGTTGTGGAGATAAGAGAGGTATTAGGGAATGTAGGAAGGATTTGATTTTGACCAATTTGGTCTCGTGTGCTGTTGCGGGTATGAGGGCGGTTGTCACTTCCCGGCTGCCCACACCGTGGAAGGTTGTTTCTTGACGAACCTGAAAAGGAAGATGGATTAGTGTTGGTGCGTGACCGCAGAGCCCAAGGGACAACTGCTTGAGGCCGGTCACGCACGGCCTTTTTATGAGAGGTATTTAGAGGATTAGCTCCGTTCTTAAAGGCCCTTAGTGGGCACCCTTACCCGAGGAGACGGAAATCCGTGAGTTAGGGGAGGTGTGACATTTTTAGGGCCGACCTTTTCTAACCCTTCCTTCCTTGTGAGAAGGCAGCATCGCTGCAGATGCTGGTTGTCCGAAGGAAACACCTTACTGCTGTCACACCCCTCTGCAGTCAGCAGTACGACTTCGCCCTCAGACCTTGGGTAGCTGCTTTTAGTCTCATCGTTCTCCAATCGACCTGCCTGGCATGGTAGGACCTGCAGGAACATATGTTCCAGCCAGTATAGCTCGGTTGGGTCATCACGATAGGCAAGCCCGACCACCACGTCAAGGTAGCAGCTTCGGTCGGTTTGAATGACATGGCTCAAAACTATCTGCGGTAGCGCAGGTGCATTGGTTCTTTGTGTTCTCTCAAATTCTAATCTTCTGAATTCCTCTTCACCTTGATCTTTCTCTTTTTAAGTTCTCTTCACTGAATTATACTTCCTGAATAATTTCATCGAAACCAAATTTTTTCCATTACCGCTAATACTTCTACTACCTTTACTACTATGGGATTCGAACTGACAACTTCATCTCTGTGCTAATGTGGTATGGCAACTTGAACTGATGTACGTAGGTACGTACAATGTTCTACGTTGTAACTGACTGACGAGAATGAAACGGCCATCCAATTCTTTCAGGTCTCTATAATCCTGGTCTAACTAACAATGAATAAATCACAATTTAAATGTATTGAAAAAAATAACATTCATCTCATTTGTTTGCTTGCTTTTTTTCTACAAAAAAAACATGTCATTCATTGATGAAAAACTCTTTTTAAATAAATAAAATGTATTTTATCACACTATCAATTGTCTTTTCCTATTTTTTTCAAAATAAATCTCATTATCTCTTAAGCCGATTTGATCAAATGGCTGTAAAACATACAGAACAATTAAGACGTTTAACTAAAACAATTCAAGAAGCTAGACAAAATCAAAATGATGAATTAGTTAGAACTACAGTACAAGAATATGATATGGCATTAGAAAGTTACATTCCAGTATTAATGCAACAAGCTAAAATTTATTGGGATATGGAAAATTATCAACAGGTAAATTAAAAATATACAAATATATTTTGAAAATATGTCAAAGTGGAACAATCAGACTAATCTATGAGGCACTGATATGTTGATGTCTCAAGGACATGGAATCAATAAGTGATCAGTGTACACTTAATCATAAAGTCAACCTCTACATGTCCCCTACCTCAATCATTCTGCCAACACCTATAATACAAATAGCAAATAAACTCTAATAAGTGCGTTTGAGAACCAAAATTTACCCACATAGACTTGGTTAGTCATATTGTGGTGTGAGCTACTTATAAGTAGTATATGATGTGAGTGTCAACGTAATGTCTGGCAGCAGAAGATGGGGGAAGATCAAGAAGAAAGGAAGAGTTAGAAAACAATGGAATTTGTATGAAACGCATGAACAGTGACATTGGATTGATGTTTTGCAACAGGAACAGTCCAGTTCAATATGATGGACTGATTTTTTGCAAATTAACGATTTACGATATGGTTTTCCGATTTTACTGAGTAACTCTGTAGTTTTCGATAAATACCACCTGTGTTCTCTTTCACTACAATATCACTAATTCATTTATACTTCTGTAGAATGTAACAGCTACTGTGTTATTTATTGAAAGGTTATCTTATTCAAATGTAATCAATATTATGTTACCAAACTTGGTCATTTCGATTCGTAATGTGTGCACTAAGTAGTTATTGAATTCAATTTACAATTATACAAATTAAGCCTCAATGGGCATAGGGTAATTTTACATTGGTTTTCAGGAGAACCAAGGAGTTTGCCCACATGTTAACATTTCATTGTGAACAGTACAGCTCAATTACGTGGCGCAACCACATAGGTACTGAATGCCCTGCTGGACTATTCACACCATTTATATACCTAGTAAAATATATAGTGATTGTTTCCGACCCATGATTGTGTCATTCAACATGCACCGCATGAACAGGTCAATTTGACCCATCCCTCTTACATGACTGTCCAACACATTATTAGTAGCAATGGTGATATGCAACATAGAGCGTCTCAATGACAATGACCCTTGGGAATGTTGCAAGACAACCACTAGTATCAATAAAATCGATCTCCCTGCTAACCACTTTTGTATATGGACTGTTAGCAATACTTGCCAAAGTAATACCAAGCCGTGGACAATGTTCACAGCGAACTTCTGCTTTCATAGGAAACCTTCAGCTCTATAAAGCAATATAGCTGATGGTATACACATAGTATGGCATAGGATAGCAAAAGATGCAACCTAGCTTGATGCCAATGGTCTCATTCCGGGTAATGATTGTTTTCACAATAGCGAAATTTTCGTTTTTTCGACTATATGAAACCTGAGTTAAGGGTAGTATTTCTTGTTCATCAAGTTATTTAAATTAAAATAATGTTTCAAGATGCGAATTATGTCTTTCATTTATAAGGAGTATAATTCCTTCAAATAGTTCAGACATGTTTACTTGGAAAATCACAAAATAGTGCGTAAACTATATCCACAACCCTAATGCCGATTGTCTTTAATCACTTAATATCAAAGTTCATGCTTTATTTATCCTTAATAATAGGATTATTACTAGTGTAAATCAAATATTAAACAGATATCAACTTTAACTTGCATTCTCTCAACATTAGATAATTACTATAATCTTAAAATAATTCAAAATTTTACAGTCGATAATAAATGTGAACTATTTGACTACTGAACTGAAGAAATAATACAATATAACGGAGGTTTTAACGTATCTTTATCTATCGTATTGTACACTGCGGCTGTAAATGGTTGACTGAATTGATACGACCATTCAATTAGATACTCGAACAGCATACTACTGTTGAGGACGTTAGATCCCTAGAACTCACTTGGAAAGGTCCTAATTTTGTAATTTTATTATTGTGTTCGTCACGACACTTTAACCAGCGTCCAGGTAGGCTACCTTGAATCCCAAGCTGAAGATAGAAGGCTTTGTAAGCGTAGAAAGTATATTCTACAAACACCCAGCAATCACAATACAATCAAGCATACAACTCTCGTTTATTTATACATCACAGAAACGTCCTTGGGACAGTTAAGAAAATAGCACACTAAAATACACAGCAGCCAATCACAGCCATGGATTTTCCTGGTGGTCAATTGATCAGCCCATGATGGCAAACATGAAAACCAAAATAAGGCATTTATCAAGTGAATTTCGGGGATCTAACATCCCCAACATTTATTCTGAAATTTTCGAATTTTTATGATTTCTCAGTAGAGATGCTTACTTGACCTTCAGCTTGCATTTCCCTCCTCGGAAAATCCTTAACTGTCATTGGTTGGTGGATTATTTTAGAACGCTCTTTTGTGCCTCTCATCAAGGACGTTGCAATCATTGTATAAATAAATAAGTTTGATTGGTGTGCTAAGCAACCTCAAATTTTCTGGGTGCTTGCAGAATACATTCTCTACTCCTTATCAAGACTTCTTGATCTCGTTAGCCAAGGCCTGGGACAATTGGATTATAATAGCCTATCGTGTCATTGTATCGTTGATCTTCGTTCAGTTTACTGAGTAAGGAAAACTCGTAATAGTATTCAAGCAGATCAGTTGGCGAGCTCACGTTGATCAGTCTGATATTTTACCGTTCTAAAAAAATCATAATTACTCGTGGTATTCTTTAGTGTCTTTTACCAGTCTAAGAACTCTAGTTCTAATCATTGGGTTATGTGTTCGAAAATCTATTCATTTATTTCAGTTTAAGCAATCAAGTAGTATCACCACAGCATCAAGGTGGCTTAGTTTTGTAAGGATACTACTAGTCTGAGTGGCCAAACTACTAACTTTGCTTATGATTTGAAAAGTTAGAACAACTAACCAATCCGCTGTGTGAATAATTATCATGAAATTAAACCTAATATTTATATGTTCCTTGTTAACGCCGCCTGGAGCCCTTCTAGCGTTATTGCCGGTCCCAAGTCCGAATAAAAGAGGAGGGTTAGGAATGAGCTTAGTGACCACATGCCCGTAGAAATCCAACTCGCTTAAAAAAATAACGGTAACCAGAAACATAATTCGCTGGCCGGCGGCCCTGTGTTCCATTAGGGGTAACAGGCGTAAGTAATGTGTTCCTTGTTAATTAACAACTGAATAATCAAGTGTTACGCATGCACGTAAACACGTCAACTTGATACGCTTGAACTATTACTTGTTTGCCTTAGTCGGAAAACGAGAGCGAGGATCGAGGATCCGGTGACACGACGTGCTACCCTAATCCGATTGTCCTAATCCCCACTGAATAAATAAGAATCAGAAGACTTGATATGAAGTAGAACATGTATTCTACAAGCATCCAGAAAGTACGAGGTCCGAGTTCAGAAGAGAATCAGGATCCCAGACTAGGGATCCCGGTCATAAAATGTTACAGATAATGCTTACTTATACAATTAGGTCGAATGTGAAAGAGCATCAAAGTCTTTGACACTGACAGTTAAGTCGACCAATAGGGAACAACATTTGAAGTGACATTACCAGTCAGGACGACCAATAAGAAACAACATTGGATTACATGACACTGATATCAAGGACGACCATAAAATTGACCTATAATTCTCTTAGGATATTGGATGAATATCCTAACACCAAAATTGGAAATAGAGGTTATAAAATAGTTAACAGTTGTACCCACTGACACAAATATGTGTCTGAATGCTAAATATATATGAATCAGATAAATGGTGACTAGCCGTTAGTCAGTCACTGACTTTTATACGTTCAATCGATCGGCGTACCCAGGACTGACAATTACAAACTAGTCAGTCAGTCAGATGCAACGTAGAACTTCGTACGTGGGTACATATTGCCATACCAAATCAGCACAGAGATATAATTGTCAATTCAAATCCATTAGTACAAGAGGTATTAAAGGTGTTAGAAGTAATCGGAGAGGTTACGATTAGAAGATATGATTCAAGAAATATGATTCAGGGGGAAAAGTTTACAAAGTTGAAGAATCCAGAAGATTAGGATTTGAGAGAACATAATGAATAAATGCACTGGCGCCATTGCAAACGGTTTTGAGCCATGTCATTCAGGGTCTCTAACCATCGATTATTATCATCTCGCGGAACCCAACCAGGTAGTTGACAATTACCGACATGACTAAGTCCACTCGTCAATAACTTCATGGATTTCTGAATTACAAACTAAGCGAGATATTGTTTAAATCACCTGATCCTTTAAATCATTTTAAGCGCTAAACTAACTGATTCATTGAAATTCAATGTTCAATTGACATTTTCAATAGTTTCCTAGTATTGTTTTAATTTTCTATTTTAATTTTACTTTCCTGGTTCTCTTACTATTTTTTTTTACTTTTTATCAATAATTCTCTTTATTTTAGGTAGAAAAAATATTTCGTAAATCTGTAGAATTTTGTAATGATCATCCTGTATGGAAGCTGAATGTTGCTCATGTTTTATTTATGCAAGAGAATAAATATAAAGAAGCATGTAGTTTTTATGAACCAATTGTTAAAAGACAATATGATAATTTATTAAATATTAGTGCAATAATTCTAGCTAATTTATGTGTTACTTATATTATGACAAGTCAAAATGAAAATGCTGAAGAATTAATGCGTAAAATTGAAAAACAAGAAGAAACTATAAGTTATGAAAATTCTGGTAGAAAAATATTTCACTTATGTATTATTAATTTAGTTATTGGTACATTATATTGTACTAAAGGTAATTATGATTTTGGTATTAGTCGTGTTATTAAAAGTTTGGAACCATATCAAAAGAAATTAGGACCAGATACATGGTAAGTGAATGAATATTGAGATGTTGTTTTTTTAAAATTTATACGAATTATGGAGATAAGTGTTTTTACATGTTTGAACACCATTAGAAACCTTGAGGCACTGGGCAGTCGTTTCGTCCTGATATAGGACTCATCAGTGGCAGTGTGCATCCAGGACTCCTGCACAGTACAGGATTCGAACCCAGGGCCTTCGTTCTTGAACGCGAGAACGCCTAAGCTCTGAACCACTGGGTCGGCATCTAACGGTGTTCATGTCTAAATCTGATTGATCTAGAGATTTTGAGCAACCTCACTCATTTGTCTTTGTCAGTTACTGCCTACCACCGACACAGCTGAACTCCACTGGTTACGTCTTTTCACTAGTGTTTGTAAGGATATATGCAGTAATGACCAAGTGTTGATTAAAATTGATAATTTGCTTGAGTACCAGCTTAGCCGACTGCTCGAACGAAACGACTGAAATTAAGTTTATTGACTATCACAAATATGTGTACTCATATGACACATCCTTCAGAAAAAAAACTAAATCAAAACCAATGAAACGTCTCTGTTGTTAGAAATAAAAGTCATTTCTCGACCAATCACATCTATTTATCATGTGATTGATTTTTGATTGGCTCAATGTATCACTCATTTTTTCTACTGACATGATTGTTTTTTGTTGAAAAATTTTTCGGATATAATAATGATGTACAAATGTATCAACTGTTGTTGATTGACATTTGTTTTAATTTTACATTTTGTTGGTATATTTTATTGTGTTATGTGGTCTATATATTATCAGCTTAGAATTTAAGCCTTTGTTCAAGTTGTCACTGCTCACGCTATTACATTGCATTGACTGGCATTACAGATCTCGTCTGGTAGTGACTTCCACATTAGTAATTATGTACACTATCATCTATCAGTATTGATACTGACGCCCTTAGATAACAGCTTAGTGGTCCAGATTTTAAGCGTTCACGTTCGAGGCTGAAGACCTTGTGTTCTATTCCCACTTGTGGAGTGGTAGATACAGACTGTGGAAGATTCCTATACTATATGGTGAAACGATCGTTAAAATGCTTTGAAGTTATAAATGGTGATCCAGCTGGGATCGGTTCGTGATTTTTAACTGCAACAATTCCGATTTGCGTAATATGATAGGTAATTAGTCAGTCTCTTATTACTTGATAGCATAATATTGAAGATTTATGTTCAATTAATCCGTACTTATACAATTCTGATGTATTTTAATAAAGTCCACCTTCACAACAAAAAAAGACTTTTGTAATTCATAAAATAGTAAACGATCTTTTAAAAAAAACACAAATAAATTCTATGACCAATCGTATTTACTGCCAAACTGACCAGTAATCTCTATCCAACTCTGTCCTGGGCTTCGCTTTCCAGTTCTGTTCAATTTTTGTTCATTGTTCTCGTGTCTGTCTCCAAATCATGGCACAATATGTTTCTCGGCATTCCTCTTTTCCTCTAACATTGAGGGTTCCAAGTGAGGGCTTGTCCTTGCGACGCAGTTGAGTGTTTTCGGCAATGTGTATCCTATACACTTCCAGTGCTCCTTCCTGATTTCCTCCTACGCTGGAATCTGGTTTCTTCTCTCCCACAGTAGGTTGTTGCTGATGGTGTCTGGCCAGAAAATCTAAAGTATTTTGCGTAGCAACTGTTAATGAATATTTGTAACTTCTGGATGATAGTTCTCCAAGTTTCCGCCCTATGCCATAGAAATGTCTTGACATTTGTACTGAAAATTCTGATTTTGGTGTTTGTTGACAGTTGTTCGATTGTAGAAGTGCAACCCTTGCTTTACCGACCAGCGCCTTCACATCTGTATCAGATCCAGCTTGCTCGTCATTGATGCTGCCCACATACGTAAAGGTTTCTACAAGACGTTCTCCAAGACATCTCTATCAAGAGTGGTTTTTATGATTTTAATCATAGAATAATAATCATTCTTCGTCTTTAACCACATTTTAATTCTTTTGTTTACTGTGAATTGGAACACGATCAGATTTGTGAAATATTCAAAAACTAATCTCTCAATATTTACCTAGTTTCCCCTCTTTTATTTTTCCTGTCATTCGAAATATCCTTTTTTTCAAATAGTACTTGTCTTTTAAACTGACTGTCATTGGACACCCATTGATCATATATTTATATATTTTTTCTCTTTTGTTCATAAATCACTGTTAATTAATTTTAAACATATTTATTTATTAACCCAGACATTTTCGGGAAAAATAAGCAAAGTTCTATATCTCTAATTATCTACGTAGATAATTGTGATTTATGGTGCAGTGAAATTATTTCACATTCACACACATACATACATACATACACGATGATCACGTGTGCTTTAAGCGTAAAAACCATACTAATCATAACAGGAACAACCACAACAACACCACAACGAACTAATTTGACTTTCTAACAATTCTGATTAGTAGTAGTATTAGTAGTAGTAGTAGTAGTAGTAGTAGTAGTAGTTAGTAGTTAGTAGTAGTAGTGGTAGTTAGTAGTAAGTAGTAGTAGTAGTAGTAGTTCGGTATGAGGAGGTTGATAAAAGTTGAATTTAAATCATCCTAAATATGTGGCTAGTTAGTTATATATTGTCAATATCATATTGTGTATTATTCTAGTCTTGATTGAATGTTATGCATGGATTGCACAAACACACACACCAATCAATAAATGTGTTGGTTGGTTAATATTAATGAAGCTTTTGTTTCTTCCAATCGATATTATTGTTCATACAATAAGGGAACTTGTAGAGATGGAAGTATCACAACAACAACTGATCTTAGTTAAAATATCATTCAAAATGTGAGATCGATCACCTGATGATGACCGCTTCGTCCTAGTATAGGCGATGGTTCATCAACAACCTCTCCATTCAGAAATCAAACTCGGTATTCAACGAAGTTGGACATTCTCATTATTCGATACTAGATCAGTAGTTTAGAGATCGAGAGATTGCAGGGGCTGTGAAAGTATATACTGTTGCGAAGTCGCGTACTAGGATGAAACAGACTTCCAGTCAGTGTTCCCAGGTTTACAATAGTTAGTCCTAGCTAAGACCGCTTTATGATTTAAGCTGTGAAAATTATAGTATTGTGGTGTGAGCTACTTATAAGTGGTATATGACGTGAGTGTCAACGCAATGTCTGGCAGCAGAAGATGGGGGAAGATCAAGAAAGGAAGAGTGTGAACACAATGGAATTTGTATGAAACGCATGAATAGTGACAATGGATTGATGTTGTCTGCAACAGGAGCAGTCCAGTTCGATATGATGAACTGATATTTTGCAAATTAACGATTTACGATATGGTTTTCCGAATTTTACTGAGTAACTCTGTAATTTTCGTTAAATACAATTCGGTTGCCCTCACCTGTGTTCTCGTTCACTACAGTATTACCAATATTTCTTTCTACTTTGCATCTCTTTCTTAGGTATTATGCTAAACGTTGTTTTCTATCACTTATTGAAAATATGTCAAAACATATGATTTTATTAAGAGATGCTGTATTATTGGAGTGTATACAATTTTTAGAACATTGTGAATGTAAGTCAAATCATGTTTTCATTGGATAAAAGTTCTTATTAGCAAGGTGTTTTTCTATAATTTCTAACATAACTGATATTTCTTGTGAGTTTTGAAGAACCAGACATAAAGTAAATTATCGTTATTGTTCAGTGGTCAACGAAAATCTTATATGACCTGAACAGGTCTATGTTTGTATTATATGCTCACGAGGAGTTTTTAATCCGTTGCACTGAATGAATACCCTGAAGAATGTAGACACACCGTACTGATAAGTGTCAAATGATGTGCAGAAATTGAATAGCAGGACAATCGATTAGTTATCTTCGATCATATAACATCACTTGAAACCATGAATCGATCAATGTTAGACCACCATTAGAAACCTGGAAGCACTGGACGGCCATTTCGTCCTGGTATGGGACTCCTCAACATTGATCGATTCATGGTTTCAAATAAAACTTAATCTTCACAACAACCCGTAATGCAAATTACCTGTGCTCACTAGTGACTAGCTTCGTGAGGAATCTCCGAGTTCCAGTGGGAGGACGTGACCAGTGAAGTTCAACCTGTTCGGGTGTAGACAGTGTATGAGGTTGCGCAATTCCGTGAATTTGATCAAGTTAGACATTAACACCGTTAGATACCGGCTCAGTGGTCCGATGGTTAGGCGTTCGCCTACAATACCGAAGGCCCTGGGTTCGAATCCTGCGGGGCGCAGGAGTCGTGGATGCGTTGAGGATTCCCATACCAGGACGAAACGGCCGTTCAGTGCTCCCAGGTTTCTATTGGTGGTCTAACATAGATCGACTCATGGTTTCAAATAAAACTTTAACAATTTTCACAACAACCCCGTAATGCATATAAAATATAGTGCATTATCACAAATTTACGTTATGATATTCATGATAGAAGTGTGAAAATTACTGATTTTTATTGAAACTATGAATCGATCATTATTACGGCACCATTAGAAAGAAACCTGGAAGCACTGGATGGTCTACTAGTGACTAGCTTTGTGGGTTCTAGTGAAAAGCTGTGACTAGTGGAGTTCAACTCTGTTGAATGTAGACACTTACCTACCAAAGATAATGGGTCAGCTTGTGCAATATCTAGGATTGACGAAAGTTAGACATTAACACCACGTTCGTGCGCGAAAATTAAGGTCTTAGGTTCGACTCCCTCTAGTAGAGGTCGTAAATGCGAACTTCTGATGAATCCCATACTAGAACGAAACGGCTGTCTAGTGCTTCCAGATGTCTATAACCTTGGTCTGAAAATAATCGTTTCATGATTTCGATAGAGTTCATGATAAATTTTGAGCGTTCAATGATAATATTCATTAATTTTACATTAGCAGAAATCGAGTAGAAAAACCCATATAACGTCTGTTTCTAAAGAATATTTTAAGTTCTTCTTTACAGCTGTAATAAACTGACAAATATACACGATTCATTAAAAGTAAATCTAGTTTAAATTTCGTAACCGACGGAGTCAGTGTAGTTTGGATGGGATAAGTAATTCAACCAATCACGATATGACAGATGTAAGAAATAAGATTCATTGATATTTTGTCCGCTACGAAACTCTGAAATCTGTTTATGAACATTGTAAGGAAGTTCAAAATTGCAATAAAA